GGGGGGGGGGGGGGGGTCTGTGTGCGGTCGGGTGCCCCGGGTCGGTGGTCCGGGAGGCGGCTTGGGGAGGCAATGGTGGGGGCGGACCTGGGTGGTGGTCCCCGGGGGAGGAGGTTTTTTTTCATTCCGGGGTGTTGTAGAACGAAGGCCACCACCCCGCAGTCCGCGACGTGCACACGAGGGCTGTGGGGTCGTGTTCAATTTTTTCGCGCCACGTGGCGTGCAACGCGTTTGAACGCGATTGAACGCGGCCCCGAGGGATATGAACGTGCGCGTTTGAACGTGAACGCGCGTTCAGCCAATTACACAGCTAACAATTCGTTGTTTGAAATGGAGCATCGCTCGAAGTCTGAACTGCAGAGACTTTGTAGTGCCAGGTATCGAATCATGTTAATGCATGTAATTGTCGGTGTGTTGGCGGCCTTATCAGTTCCAGAGATGTCGAAGTGTTTCGTGAGGAAATCTATTTCGTGTTTGATAGCATGGTTGCTTGGGCAGGTTTCTCTGTGTGGGGGGTGATTTCTAGTAGCCTTTATTATTGTCTAGGTGAATTCCTCAGCAGCTTCTTCTTTGTGTTCGTCCGGGAGAGGGGTGTCGTACTCCTCTAAGGTGCGTGTGAAGGTGTGCGAGACATGGTTGGTCGCTATCAGTATTTCGGATTCCTTTCGATTTTGTTAAGGGATGTAGTTTAGGCCGTTGTGCGTTAGTTTTTTGGGATTGTTGCTGCCGATTATGTTTATGTCAAGTGTGATGACATGTGGTGCTTCTTCTGTTGGTAGAAGGTCAGGAGGGAGGGAGGTAGTGAAGGTGTCATATCTCTGCTATTGACAGAAGCACTTGTTTTTTAGATGGTTTAGCCATTCCGTAAGATCGAAATCTCAGAAGACGGCAGCAGGTTTGTAAAGCATTTTAGCAATGTGGTCATTGTACGTCCAAGAGAAAGTGCAATTGTCTAGGAGTAGAGCATTTAGGTTGTGTTTTTCTAGGATTTTCTCAAAGATGTTCTTGAATTTGAGTCTTTTCATATTTCGATTAGCGTAGTGGCAAGGTATAATGATTTTTTTGCTTTTTCTACTGATCTTCCAGCCGAGTCTTCCGTCTTCCATGATTTGCAGCCGAGTTCCCTGCACAAGTCATAGCCACAGCGGTTTTAATACTTATGCGTAATTGGGTAACTGTTATTTAGCTTGTATTCAGGCCATGTGCACATTTCTTAGTGTTAGAAGGTATCTAGGAGTGACGGGGTGGGCGTAAGGCAATTGGTTACTTATGCGGGCAGCAGGTGTTTGGGCAGAAGACTGGATCTAGTGGAGATGGAAGTTTTTGTTACCATAATTACGTTGTTCTCAATTGCTTGTTCAAAGGTAATGGGTGCATGGGTTCTGAGATCGTCCTCGGGAAGAAGAGGCAGTTGAGACGAGTCATTTTGGAGTCGGTAGTTTAGTGGTGCGTTAATTGCAGTTTCATGCACATTGTTGGCATAGTATGGATGGTGATTCGTGTGAAAAAAGGTAAAGTATTTATGCTCATGTCGTTATAATCAGTGCCAAAAAGAGTTATATATATATTTTTAAAAAAGTGTAGAACAAGCATAGGATCCAGAAAACAAAGAAACAGACAAAGTCATCTGCAGAATCATGTCACAGAGAGACCACGCGAAGCCACCGGTTGAAAAAACATTTATTTTTTATGAAAAAGCAAATTAATCATTATCTGATAAGTTAAATAAACTCAGGACAGAAAAACACCAGTAGCGAGAGTTATTTTTTTCAACCGAGCCATAAGGCAATATTAACCAGACATCTAGCTATGCGAATCATCAATTCGTTATGATCCTTGGCTGCGTAGCACGACGAACGTGTTCACACCCCTTCACATTCGCGCGAACGTGTTCGCACGTTCGCGCAACAGGTCGCGAACATGTTCGGGCAGGCGTAATTTTTTTTTCGTAAAAATAAAAAATAAAAAATTAATTGTTTTTTCGGTTTTTGATTTTTAACTCATGATTGGCTACGAATTTGAACATGACTCCAAGGCAAAAGTTGCTTGTATTGTTGTTTTACATCACATATATGTTCGCGTTCGGAGGATTTTGGGCGCTTGTTCGCGTCCGGGCGAACATGTTCGCGTTCGCCTCTGAACGCGAACACGGTGCTACGTAGATCCTTGGTTGCTAGCGGAGTAGTGTGAGTAGTGCAGTAGCGTCCGTCTAACCATCCGTAACAAACAGCACAAGTTATTTTAGCCTCTAGTGATACTTGGAATGTTATAGAGGTAGTCCGGGCTAAGCCTTCTACAAACGCGTTTCCAAGAATCCTTAAAGGACTGCGATTCGGTCACCAGTGCGGTGTTGTCGCTACTCGTTCGAAGGAGGGAAGAGTCAGCGCTGCTTGCGCCGTAATTCATCTTGAGGTCGTCAATCGCAGAGATCAGCCGGATTGTTGTACCATGCGGCGGGGAGCTGATGGTGATGGGGAGCTCTCTGCTTTCTCAATCTTTGATATCGCTGCTGCTGATTAGGATCACTTCTTGCTCTCTATTGCTTTGCTGCTCTATGGTATGCAGATCAGCATCAGCTCCCATGTGTGACCATTGTCTCAGGACAAGTCCCGCATGTGGCATCCATGCCTGTTGCTGTCCTGGCAGGCAGTTGGGGCCAGTCTGCGCTTGCACATTCGTTGTGTCAGAGAGGTCTTGCGAGTGCTCCTGTTGATAGGACTTTAACCTTGCCTGATATTGTTGTTGGGTCATTAGTGCGTCGTGTATGTCCGGTTGCCGTTGATCATGTTGCGCCGATTTTCTTCTTGTTTGCCTCTTGGTCTGCACTCCATCCTGCAGAGGGTTGAGCATGCGAGTTTTGTTACCTCTTCTGGTGTTAGCTTTGACTGGTTCCGGCAGGGGGTTCATGGCGATGCTCAGCAGTTGCTCCCTTCTGCGGGCCAATCTTTCGGCTTCGGTGAAGGCTGTATTCGTCAGCGTTGTGGGGTTGGGGTTTAGGTGCGCGGGGAGTGAGCGTGTGAAGCCAAGGCTTGTGCCCGGTGTTGTGTGCAACGCAGGCAGTGAAATGTGATTGCTTCTAAGTGTGGTGCTTCCAAATGCTATCGGGCTGGCCTGTCGTGTTGCCAGTTGAGCAGCTGCTAGGGAGAATGCATTTGCTCTAGGGTGCGGGTTCGCGCAGTTATTCATTGCTGATCCGTTGGCGATGCTGGGGGCTGCGCTTTACATGCGGTCAGGCGGTGTTCGTGCTTGTCGGTGTGTTGATGTTTGCGGGCATTGTGCTGTGGTTATTTAGTCCCGTCATGTTGTGGGTTTGCGCTGCTCCGTTGAGGTTGTGCTGTGGACCCGTCGGTGTAGCCGTTACGTATCTCGCAGGTGTGGCAGCAGTAGGAGTGTGGGTAGCAACATTCGTCGGAACACTACCAGTGTCTGTCGTGTTTGGAGTGGTGCAGCCGGATCCCACATGCGTGTTGTTTGCGTGTGCCTGCATTTGAGGAGTGGAGGTGGGCGTACGTGCCGGTGTGGTAGCCGACGTCGGTGTGCCGCCAAGTCTCATCTGACGGCATCTTCTTAGAGAGTTATCCTCGAGGTCGGGGAGGAACCTTCTGCCGTTCGCCTGCGGTATTATCCCTTTGGCGTTGGGCATGAGTGCGGCAGTGAACTTAAGAACGAACGGTACGTCTCTGAAGTCCTCGTAGCTGAGAATTCCTTCTGCCGTCATGCCTGCGTTCTGGGTGAGGAGATTGACGATCTTGATCATGTATTCTCGCATGAAGATGAAGGAGACCTGAGCGAGTATCGACTTTCTCCATGTAGTGTGTAGCAGCGCCTGGAATTCGAGCATCCTGACCTTGTCAGACGGTGCCTGCGGATCAATCTTATCCAGGTTCCCGATTACGTACCATATCATATGGTCGAACCAAATGAAGTTCTTCTCGCAGCCCGTGCATGCGCACTTCAGGTAGGGTCTCCCAGCGTTCCAGAGTTTTTTGAGCTTGGACAGGTCTGCAGGGAACTTGGGGATACCCTTCTGATGCAGTAGAGGTTTCTTCGGACACTTCCCTTCTTCCAGCTTGGCAATTGGAGGGAAGTCTGCGTCCAGTCCTCCTCTGGCGGCAGGAAAGTAGATAGTATCGTTCCTAGCAGCGGTTCAGTAGTTATCTACTTCTGCGTCAGAGAGGCCTGAAAGTGCCATATACGCTTCAACGCTGATTGGCGCAGTGTAGTTGAAGGTGTTGAGTTTCCATAGTCGGTTGTGGACGCGCTGCACAACCTTCTCAATCCATTTGCTGGATGCTAGCGGTAAAAAAAGACTGTTATTGGCGAATTTGTGGCTGGCATCTCTCGTGAGGGGGGTGATCTCCGTGTGCGCGGAGCTTCTTCATTCTGCTTCCTTCTTCTTTAGGTACTCCAGTTCAACCTGGGAGAGCGACATTCTATTGATGTATGCCTGATTGAATGTCTCGCTTCTCTCGGTGATTGAAAGGTGTCCGACGGAGTCGAGGTGCGCCGTATCATATCCGTGTAGCTCGAGAATGATCTTCTCGGCTTTGGCAATGATAAGGTTGAGCTCCCTATTTTCAATTGCCGATTTTTTGCGCATCTCGGCGATATTGCCAACAAACTCTTGGATCTTGGCACTTAGTTCCTGTGGCTTGTTTTGCATTACGTGCACTAGGGAAGCCCAATCACTGAAAGATAGGTTCTCAATCAGGAATGGAGCCTGTCCAAGCGTGGCCTCGTAGAACTGCAGCAAGACGTCTGCGGGGATGGCGAGCATGGCAATCTGGCAATGTACGATGGGCGGCTGCAGTGCTGCGAATGGCCGGATGGCAGCGGCGAGTTCCGGATGCCAGCCCATGCGGATGTTATCTTCATCCTGCACAAGTTACGTTACGCAGCACGATGGTAGAGGTGGGTCAACTGTATGGAGATGCGATCCGCTACATCAGTCATTCAGATATCCTAAGGCTATAGGCCTTCATCTTGTTTCTTTCAAGGGAGCATAAACTTATACCGCGTATTATTATAGACTATTAATTTTTTGGAGGGTGATTTTATGGCATGGAGGGGTTTATGTATGCATGTGGCACTACGTTATGATTTGCGATGACGATTATGTGATAGTTCTTAGTTATCCCTCCTCTGGTGGTTGTAGTTGTATTCAGTCCAGGTACGTTCATGTACGTGGAACTCATTGGCAGTGTTCGGTATAATTTTGGTAGTGGGATTGTCAGTGGTAGAAAAAGTAGGGAGTCCTTTTTTGCTTCAAAGATGGTTGCGGGTGAAGGACTGTACGAATGCGTATTCAGAATACAGTATTGTTATAAAACAATATTACCTTTAACGATCTTTTTACCATCAGCTCTGTGGTGGGGTATGATGAAGGTGGTTTTTTTGGAGGTCGGGTACTTTTTCTTGGGGGGGTCCAGGGAACTCAATTTATGCGTCTGAGGGTCTGGGGTTTTATGACGGTGGTCGTTGGTCCGGGTACTCATAGGTAGTATTATTTATTCTGATTACTAACAAGACTCTGTTCGGGCATATAGATTATTATTTTTATTTTTATTTTATACCAAAGGGTTGGTGGGGGCTCTTCCTTATAATGATCGGTGTCGTTTTTTGGTGGTACCATGGATAAGTCGTAGAATTGGGTGGCTGCATCCTGTCTCTTATACACATCTAGATGTGTATAAGAGACAGCTCATAGGTAGTATTATTTATTCTGATTACTAACAAGACTCTGTTCGGGCATATAGATTATTATTTTTATTTTTATTTTATACCAAAGGGTTGGTGGGGGCTCTTCCTTATAATGATCGGTGTCGTTTTTTGGTGGTACCATGGATAAGTCGTAGAATTGGGTGGCTGCATCAGTCCAGTGGGTAAGGGGGAAAGGGGCAATATTCTTGTTCTCTTTGTGTAATGAATCTTGTTGTCTCGTATTTTTGGTTTTTTTGTTAGGAGTGATAATCATTAAGGGTTATAAAAAGCATGTGTGACACCGCGAAGAGTCAGAGTAGCTTAGCAAGCGGAGTGGTGGCGAGCAGATCAACTACTACGAGAGGGGAGGCGGCGACGCAGTAAGCGAATGCAGTGAGATCGTAAGGGATCGATTTTTGGAAGTATCCGTTGCGAGGGATTGTGTGAGTGAATGCGATCGCGTTATTGTGGACGTGGAAACTTGTCAAGAGGGAGCACCAAAGAGAGAGAGAGAGGGAGAGGGAGAAAGAGAGAGAGAAAGAAAAAAAAAAAAAGAGGGAGAGAGAGAGAGAGAGAGAGAGAGAGAGAGAGAGAGAGAGA